CGTTTAACAACTCTCAAAAGAGTCGCATCCCTCCTTCAATTTTTTTTTAAAAACTGGACATGAGATTCAGAGGATCCAAGATGGAACCATTGCTTTGAATGTTGTCCAACAAAGGCATGCTACAATTTCTATTGATTATATGGAAACTGTAAGCAGGTAATTCTAACAAGGCGTATCTTAAGGTTGTTGTTGTCTCCCTGTTTTATTCGTTCTTGAAAGACTGTTTTATGTTCCTGCAGATTTTTTCCTCCTGAAAATTTAACCTGACTTTGCTGGCTCTTTAGTTAGAGTTTTTTTTTTTTAAAGGGTACTACTAAAAACGAAGAATAATGCATTTTTGTTAGGCATATTTGGTGTGTTTCTTGTGATCCATGAACATCTATATGTATGATACTACTTTTTTCCAGGCTTATGCTTCTCTCTTTTCGACAATTCATTAATCAGGTAAATGTTTGGAGGATTCTTGATGTGTATGTTTTGCTTCTTTTATGTATTTTCGCTCCTAATGTTGTGCTTATGGCTATGCTCTATCAAATTCTCTGGTTGTTTTGAACTTTTTAATKTYWYGYMWKTTMAAACATTAGGACCTATATACTGAAACTATATATGCATATCTCTTATATGCAAGTCTTGACAGTAGGCCACAAAGCTACATTTGAATATCATGGAACTAATTACACTTTCACATGTGATTTCAAAGGTTGAAGACCAGTTTGATGGTATCGAAAGAGGGATGATCTATAAAGAGATATATTTTGTATTCGAAACATCAAATGCAAATGGCATAAAGATCAGGTTTTTAATCAATTCTCTTGGTACTGCTTGTGTTGGTTAATCACTTTATCATCCTTTTAAACGTGTGTTATGTAACTTCATATACAGATTATTAGCCAAAGAGACCCTGCTACTAGCAAAATATTTAAAGAAAAACAGTTGAACCCTTCAATATTTTTGAAGAGTTTTGGTTCTCATAATTTTTCTCCTCATGTTAGGAACATGTTCTGTGATTCATCATTCTTCAAGCAAATATTGAACCGTTAGTGCTGCATATATGTTTTAAGTGTTATCCTTTTAAGCTTGCAGACTTGGACGTAAGCATGTTAAAGGGATGCTTCTTTTTGGACCTACTAGTACCAACAAGACTTTGATGCATTGTACGCCAAATCGGAAAAATGCTGAATGGAAATGAGCCAAAGGTATATTCTGATCTTCTTAGCTAATGAAGGAAAGTGAGAGAACTTAGAAGGCCGTATAGTTGCTAAATTCATTGTTTTTTTTTATGTAGTAAACGAAGATTTTTACTCATCTAGGCCTCCAAATGCGAAAGCTGTTCTGTTTAGCTGTATTCAAGAAGTATAATACAATGTGTTATCAATCGCTTCAATTTTTCTTCTCTTGATATAATAGATTGTGAATGGTCCTGAGGTATTAAGCAAGTTTGTCGATGAGACAGAAAAGAATGTAAGAGACTTGTTTGTTGATGCTGAGAATGACTATAGAATTCTTGGTAATATGATTCTGGGTAGAATCGATTTGTCCCTTGAACACTTTGTGAGGTTGAATGGATTCAGATAATGATGGATGCGGAATATAAATATTTGATGGCGATGAATCGGTGAAGATGATCAGATCGGATTTGATGGAGATGAATTTGGGGAAGATGATC